TGAGCGGGAACCGGTCTGTATGTGGGATCCGAACCCTCGGCGGGAGCGCCGCCACGCTCCCAAGCGGCGCACTGTAGCAGTGCGCCACCGGGCCAGCCTATAGTTGCATGAACTTTTTGCCTCACAGCAGTGTCTGTTCAGAGGGTGGGACCTGGGTCTGTCTGATGGTCTAGCCCAGGCCCTCCACGATCTGCAGGCTTGGGCAGCCTTCAGATCTCACATCTTCTACCTTCAGACTTTGCTGATCATAAGTGATGTTGCTATGTGCATTGTTCTGTTTTCCTGTCACTTCCTCCTGTGTTCTCTCCGTGTTACAGGTGTGGACATGGAGGTGCACAAAGGCTCCCACAGGGGAGCCCAGTGGGGATTTTAACCCAGACAGTCTGGCTCCAAGCTGCCGCCCCTAGTCACTTTCTAGATTGCTTTCCCCTTCGCTACTCCTGCTGATCTCTGAGTTTGGTTCCAATTTAACACTGGCGAAGAGTCCTCCCCTCCCTCCTCTTTGCTCTGTCTCCTCTGTGAAAATGCAAGTGACACTCAGACAGGAATCTCTGTGCTCCCTAAGCCCTGCTAAGTGCTGCATTAGCCAGTAGAATTAGCACATTCCTAGTGGAAACATGACCTGACATTTGTCCCTCAAGCTGGCTTTCCTGAGTGTTTTGTCCATGATGCCCGCCCAGCTGCCCTGCGGGTGGCCTCGGGCACGTTTGGAACTGCTGCTTCTCCAGCTGTAGATGAGCTGAGCTGTTGAGCCCCCACAGCTCAGAGCCGTCCAGCCACTGAGAACGCAAAGGTTTATAAGAGGCTTGGCTGCTGCTGGCGTGGCCATGAGTCACCTCTGTCCATCCCAGCTCAGCATCACAGCTGCTGGGATTAGACGTGAAATAAACACCCAGGCCTGGCTGACTCAGTTCCTCCACTTACGTGCTGTGTGACTTTGAGCTAATCACCTCCCCTCTCTGAGCCTGTTTCCCCATCTGCCGAATGAGGGTGATGATCCCCATCCACCTCCAATAGGATGCTGAATGATGCATCTGGCTGCCTTACAAAGGCTTTGCTGAAACTGCTCATACCAACCACATCCTATTACAAAGTGCTTGGGCATTTTAAATAAAGCCCTTAAAGTCCCAAGACCTCTGGGTATTTGGACACTGTGGAATACACTTTCCTTGATACTTCACTCTGCCTGGTTTCCCTTCTTCCCTCCCTGACTGCTCCTGCCCAGTTTGTCTTCTGTTCCCTTAAATGTTGGCATAAACAAAGGTGCAAAGCTTGAGGGGGCATGAGAAGGGAGGGGAAAGGCCACAGGCTTTGGAAACCAGACCTGAGACCCTAGACTTTCCTCCGAGGACAATGGGAAGCCACAGGAGAGTGGTAAGCTGGGGAGCAACACACCTGGTGAGATCTGCCCTTTAAGAAGATCATTTTGGCTTCAGAGAGACACATGGGTAGACTAGACAGAAGACAATGAGGAGAAGGGCTGGCAGGGGATCTGAGAAGTTCTTGGCAGAGGGAATAACCCTTTCCTGGTGTGAAAGACCAGGAGAGGCGCCAGCAGAGAGCATGGCAGGAAGAACCAAAGAACGCAGAGAAGCCTTCTGTGGCCCCAGCGTAAAGAGGGGTCCAGGAGAGCAGGTGAGATGAGGCCAAGGATGGACAAGGGGCCAGGTCAGAGAGGAATTTTAAACCACATGGAAGAACATGGATTTCATCCTCAGCCGTGGAAACAGTCTTAAAGAGGGGAATGACAATTAGGTTTGTATTATTCAGAAAATCACCTGACTGGTGTGTGAAGAATGAATTAAGGAGAGAGAGACCAGTGCTAAGGAGGCCAGTTAAGAAACTACCGCAGCTGACCAAGCAAAAGATGATGGTGGTACCCTGGGGATGTGGCCAGATTCTAGAGAAATTGAGGAGATAGAAGCTAAAGACTTGGCAATTGACCTGATGCAAGGAGTGAAGGACAAGTCCTAGGACAACCTTGGGCAACCCAGCAGTATCCGTTCCTGAGATGAAAAACACAGGAGAAGCTGAGTGCTGTTTAGGACAAGGCTTGGTCACCTTTTCTTAAAGGGCCTGAGAGTAAATATTTTAGGATTTGTGGGCCATATGTTCCCAGTCACAAAAACACTCTGCTTTTGTAGCATAAAATCAGCCATAGATGATACATGAATGAATGAGCGTGACTGTGTTCCAATAAAACTTCATTTACAAAAACAGAAGGCAGGTGGAATTTGGCCTGCAAGCTGTAGTTGGCCAACACCTGGTTTCGGATGCATTATAGTAGATGTGCCTTCTCTGGATTCAAGTGGAGATCCTCAGGAAGCAGTTGGAGAAATGCATCTGAGCTTAGGAGAAAGGTCTAGGCTGAAGAGAGAATTGGAGAAGTATCAGAGTATGGATGGCCATCCAAGATGTTCAAGGAGTGGATGAGATCAGGAGAGAGAAAAGAGCAAAATGCAGAGAGCTGGGCCCTGAGGACAAGGAAGAGTTCAGAGAGACTGGAGGGAGGTCCTCTTGAGCAGCGGGAATTACACCCAGAGAATGGAGCATCATGACAGTCAATCATATGTATGTCTGTATCACATGCTGCAGAGCTAGGGCAGCACAGGGCTGAAGTGCACAGGGCTGGGTGTCACCAAATGGTTGCAGTACTCATGAAAGGGGTCAGTTGCAAGTAGAGACAAAAACTTTGCAGGTGAAAATAGATTCAGGAGGGATCTGGAGATCAGGAAAATGGAGATAGCAAGACTATGGCCAATTCTAAAGAAGTAAGCAAAGGTGACAGCTGCAAGGGAAGATGGGATGGAGGGGTTTTGTTTGTGTTTTGTTTTTTAAGATGGGAAAGATGTATTTAAATGCTGGGACGAGAAAGGACTATTAAGGCTAGACGACAGAGGAAGGGATGAATGACGACTCTACCACTAACCACCCATGGGACCTTAGGAAATGGACTTACTGCCACTTCCTCATCTGGAAAGTGGAAGGAATAATAGCATCTGCCTCATCCAGCTGATGTGAGCAAGCGAAGGGATGTGTGTACACTGCTCAGTGCACAGTGATAAGCTGCAATAATACATGTGATTCCTGTTATCACCCTCCCCGTGGCTTCCAGAAGGAATAAGTCTAGGTGTACAGGACCCCACAGCTTGTAGTTTCCCTGCTTTTCAGGCAGCCCTGATGATCCGGGAGCTTCTTGAATTACTACTTTCTTCTGCTTTTCTGTGAAAGCCTAAATAAATGGTTCTTTGGTTGGTTTCTGAAAAATCAATAGGAACAGCCTTAGGTAGGTCTAGCCCAGGGCTTTGTGGAAGTACTAGAGGCAGGATTGTTATGTTCATTCTCTGGTTTGTTGGATTGCTGAATGATCTCTATAATTGATCCGAGGTCATATCTCCCTGCTCCACATTTTCTATGGGAACATAGAGGGCCCTTTTCAGCCTGAGTTTTTATTTCAAGTTAGAGGGGAAGGGTCTGTAGTGGGTTGAATAATGTCCCCCCAAAATTCAAATCTTCCTGGAACCTCAGCATGTGGCCTTATTTTGGAAATAGGGTCTTTGCAGAAGTAATTAAGGTAAGGATCAAGATGAGATAATACTGGATTAGAGTGGGCTCTAAATCCAGTGACTGGTGTCCTTATGAGAAGGGACACACAGACACATATACAGAGGAGAAGGCCATGTAAAGATGGAGATAGAAATTGGTGAGATGAAATCAAGGAATGCCAGGGATTGCCAGGAGCCTCCAGAAGCTGCAAGAGGTGGAGATAAAGATTGGTGAGATGAAATCAAGGAATGCCAGGGATTGCCAGGAGCCTCCAGAAGCTGCAAGAGGCAAGAAAGAATCCTTCCCCAGAGGCTTCAGAGGGAGCATGGCCCTACCAACGCCTTGATCTCAGACTTCTGGCCTCCAGAACTGTAAGAGGATACATTTTGGTTGTTTTAAGTCACCTGGTTTGCAGTAATTTGTTATGGTAGACCCTATTTCCAAACTGATACAGTCTGGCTTCATGCTTGGTCTCTAGGGTCATGAAGGAGGACACGGTGTCCCCTCAGCCCAGTGTGGTGGCACTGGCAGTAGACACGAAGCCTCTTCAGCATCAGAATGGCAGGAAGTGACATGCAGACTGAAGCAGAAACACATCTGAAACAGACTGGGCGAGACCGGGGACATGTGGCCCACAGAGAGGGGCCACCACACCCGACCATGGGGCCCACACCACACTGTGTGTCAACTCCAGATCTGCTACGACTTGAGAGACATTCAGATTAACTTTTGATTTATAAATAATTTGAAAATGCTACTTGTTAATGGCCTAAGAATTTTACTTCTAGGAATTTATCTGAAGGAAAAATCAGAAATTCAGATGAAGGTTTGTCCTCCAGGATGTTTATCATGACATCATTTGTGATACTGAAAAACTAGAAACTAAATGTCCAGTAGTGATGAAATGGTTTTATAACTTACAGTGTATCCACAAGATGGATTACTAAGCAGCCATTGTAAATATTTATGAAGCATGTTTCATGTTTACAAAGAGCTTTTAATGATGTGGGAGAATGGTAGCGATATAATGATAAGTGGAAGAAAAACTGGTTATAAAACGGTACAATGATAACAATCATGAAAAAAAGAAGTGCATTTAAAAAGAGACTGAAAGGAATTATGCCAAAATGTCAAAGTGGTCTCTAATTGGAGGAGTTATGGATAAAAAAAAAAAAAAAAAAAAAACTTCTTTATACTTTCTGTACTTTTTAAATGATTTACTATATACATGGATTACTTCCATAATCAGGAAAAAAGTAAAAACTTTTAAAATGCTGTATACGTGGTTTCCATTTTTATTTTCTCTGATGGATGGTTGCACATCAGTGAATCTTGAGTTACGCTAACTACTTAGGCCGGTCATGACACACACACGGACAGAGAGGTCACACGGGCCGTGCCAGGCTGGCTGTAGCAAATGTACATCAAGTTACACAGGTGGGATTGTTAGGCTGGTTAAAGTAGGCCACCAGATGATGGGACACAGTTGGGTCAGGCTGCCTCTCCCGTCTGTCGCTGTTCTTTACAGAGGTCTGTGTGTTGGGCTGGCGAGTTGGTGTCCTGCTGGCACCCCCTGCGGTGGCCCTGGTGGCTGAATAGTGCCTGGGTCGGCATCTGCTCGGGGTCCCCTTCTCGTCTGCCCTGGCCTCAGCCTGGGTGCCTCCAGCTCTTGGCTACTCTTCCATGCTCTGGCTCTATTCCAGCCCAAGCCTCCCATCCCCACCCCACTCCAGACACAGCACACAAAGGAAGAGCCAAGAGAGCCCCCTGAGGGGACTGTGTCCAGACACAGGATGGGAGGAAGCGGGAGATATGACCAAGACACCACACACAAGCTCAGTCTGACAGACGGGCCCTGTGTGTCTCCAAGAATGCTACACTGATGGCACCTGAGAGACTCACGAGCTGTGCGGAGCCCTCTAGGGCACTGCCCCTGGGAGAGGACAGACAGGGAACAGGACCTGTGCCCATTTGGGGCAGGTCTGACAGCAGAACTGCGAGGGTGGATGGGGGATGTGTCCAACGTGGTGCTAGATCGTTGAGAAGTCACAACTATACACACCTGGGGATCATGCCCCTCTCCCAATTCATTTGCACGGTGGGTTAGATACAGCTAGATAGAAGTGGAGATATACTTTTCTGAGGGAGGGCCTTTCCTGGTGGCTGGATAAACAGTGGGACAGACTCCTGGGTTCGGCATGCTCTGGGGAGGGCCATGCGACGGTGAGGGACTCCCTATTGCTACACTCTGTACAGGGTGGCCAGCCCGCCTGCCACGCCCATGGCCCCTGGCGGCAGTCACGGTCTTGCCTTCAATCCCTTCTACCTTGGAGAGCTCTTGGGCCCCCATGAAATGGGGGCTATGAAGACAAGAGGGTGGGAGGGGGGTCCCCATGGGCCCGGGGGCACCCCATGTGGGGGCTACATGATGTTGCACTGGGTGGCTCCGCAGCAATCCTTGATAAGCGCCAGCCCCGTCTTGGCCACCGTGGGCTTGCTAGGTGGGGGCTCTGCTTTCTTCTCTGCCCGGGAGCCTATAGCAAAGTAGGGACACAGAGGAAGAGAGGGAGGAAGGGACAGAGAGAGAGAGAGAGAGAGAGAAGTGAGGTGAGGGGAGCCCTGACCATCTGCAACCAGGCCTTGTTCAGGTGGCGTGGAGAGTGCATTTTATATGGCCCTGGTGACTGTTCCCACTTCCTGTGGGCCCACTGACTTTCAGTTCTCGGCTTCCAACCACAGCTTTTAGCCCTTCTCCTACTCAGCTCTCCTCACCATCGTATCTGGGCAGGCCTAGCTCTGGGCCTGGCATCCAGGAAGTATTTGATGAATGAATAAATGAGAAATTTTGTTCAGGTCACTTCACTATGAAAGCTCATGTCTTTCAATTCTGGAAAACACTCATATGTTATGTTTTGAGATACCCCCATCTCCCATTCTGTTTTCTCTCCTTCTGGAATGCTAATTAGATGTAAGTTGGACCTTCTCATTCTATCCTCTATGTTTCATGACCTCTCTTTTATATTTTCCATCTCTTTTTATCTTTGTGCTGCCTTATGGGTAATTTCCTTGGCTCTGCCTTCCAATTTATGAATCCTCCCTTCACCCATGTTTCTGTACTTAATCCATTGCATTTTTACTTCAGTGACAATAATTTTTTTAAAAAGGCTAATTTTTTTCAAGTCTACTGATTCTTTTTTCAGAACATCCTGCTATTTAGTTTTGGTTTTTATTCCTCCTATCTTTTTAATAATTTAAATATACTTAGTTTATTGTCTCTTTCAAATAGTTCTCTTATTTCTGTTCTTGGGAGGACATTCTCCTTGTTGCATCTACTGACTCTCCTCATGGTAGTTTGATTCTTCGTGGGTTTCTAATTTTTATTGAGAGCTCATCTTCGGGGGGGGGGTTGTTTAATCTGTGGGAGTTCTGTTTACTGTGGGATGCAGAAGGGTCCCTACTGAGCAGTTTTGCATTTGCTCTTGCTAGGGTCCCAGAGATTTCACTGGTTTTAGAGAAGCTTTTATTTTTCAACTTGGGATTCCACCACCAAAGAGGTGGTGTAAATTTGGGCCCCATACTTGGCCCCTTGCATGTGGTACAGGCTTGCTGTTTTGATTCCTTCCCAGAATAATTTCTTTTTTCCATCTATAACCCTATATTAAAGGCAAGTTTCTTTGATCCTTCTCCATGCCATTAGGAGGAGTTTTTCTACTTTGTCTTTCATGGAAGAGTCCATGGAGGATGCTGGATTTAGGCAGGAATCATGTTCCTTGTGGTTTTAGGGGTCAGTAGAAGGGACCACAGACCTTTACATTTCTACTCCCCACACTCTACAGCTGTGTTTTCACAAGATATTAATGACTGGTCAGTGAAACTGGGTTTGTGATTATATGGGTAGTGGCAGCTTTTGGTTTTTGTCTTCTGAGAAAGATTTCTAGTCCCTCTTCTTCTGATAACAGCTCATGTCCCTGTGGCTGCAGGAGTGAGCATGTGACAGAGACCTGGCCAATTAATAGTACCTCAGCCTCTTAGTGACAGTGATGTGTCTAAGAGGTGGGGGTATGATCCAAGAAGGGCCAACAGAGTTCTTCCCTGAGATTTATGTGTTTAGACACCAGAAGAGAGACATTACCATGGAGCTGCTAAGCTGTGGTTTTGGGGTTCTGGCCCCATGGAGAAGGCCTATGTAGTAGGAGAAAATAAAACTAACCTGCAAAGAGGGGCAGAGATAAGAAACGGAGTGAGAGTGAGAAAGTTCTAATAATGTTTAGTTCCTGAGGCCCTCCTTCTTCTTGTTCTTCCTCCAATAAATCCCCTTTTTTGTGTAGACCGGGTTGAATTGGGCAGCTATTTATTATAACTGAATGAGGCCCCACTAACACAGCAGCTGGACATATTTGAGACACACTGGGTCAACAAAGAGAAAACAGTTTCTTGACAGCAGGGTCCATTAACACTTTATCATCCTAATGGACATTGGGACCCTCCAAATAAAGGGTCAGGTATGCAACATTTCCTGAATTTATTTCACACAGAACCATTTTTGCTCTGTGTATCTTGTGAGGCTAATATTCTGAGAAGTATGCTTCTGGTTCCTCCAGATATTTAAGCCCTAATAGAGGCCAGAGCTCCTTGAGCCTCAGTGGCCACCCAGTTCCTTCTATGATGTGCATGAAACCATGTGACTAGGGACAGATAGCTGCTGCCAGGACCAGCTACATAGTTCATGAGGTTCAATGCAAAATGAAGATGCAGGGCACCTTATTCCAAAATGATTAAAAATATCAAGGCAGCAATACCAGAACTTTAAACCAATCACAGTGCCCTACTAATCATGGGGCCCTGAGCAACTACACAGGTTGCAGTCCCATGAAGCTGGCCCTGTCTGCTGCTGTTTGTGCTCAAGTTTGATATCTAGATAGCACTTTGTTGTGCCCCCTCTGGCTCCCAGGCTTCTTTGGAATATCTTTCTCTTTCATGGGGGAGGAGGAGGGATAATGTATGCACTCACTGACTGAAGATTTGGTTACTTTGTCTAGAGGTTTTAACTTGATTCTCAGGAAATCAGCCATTTCCTTGTCTTCTTCTTGCTCCCTGTGAAGGCAGATGTGTAAAAAAGAAGAGGAAAACACAATAAGCAAGGAAAACATCAAGTGACCAATGAAATAAGGCAAGGTGTTAAGTGTGTGAGACTGGGCATCAGGCTTTGTAGATGGTGCATGTAAGTTGTTGTGTGTTATGTGTCTATGGTATACATATGTTGTATTTGATGAATCTGCTGTGAATAAGCAAGGAAAACATCAAGTGACCAATGAAATAAGGCAAGGTGTTAAGTGTGTGAGACTGGGCATCAGGCTTTGTAGATGGTGCATTTAAGTTGTTGTGTGTTATGTGTCTATGGTATACATATGTTGTATTTGATGAATCTGCTGTGAACCAGAGATACATATCAACAATGGGGTAAATGCTTACCCAGAGCTAGGGTGAGACCCCAGGGCAGAGGCAGGGACATTATAGGACCCAGCCTCCCTGAGGGGGGTTCAGTGGGCTGGGCATCACCTCTCCTGACCCTGTACCTTTAAGCTGCCCTAGTTACCTGTGTTCCCACAAGGTACATTGCAGGTCTCAGAGAGAAAGTCACCTCTGCTCTTCTAAGGGTCACTAGGATAAAGTTTGTAGGCCCAGCCTGGCTGAGCTAGACAAGGCACATCCCAGGGACCTTGAAGAGGGGTCTCAGAAGAGACAGAGACTAAAGAGGAAGTTGCCCTCTGGGTTTGTGGGGGCCCTGAGGGCCTCTCTCCTTGTAGAGAGCTCCAAAGGCCTTGCTCTGGGACAAAAATATTCAAGAGTCAACATTCGCAGTTTTCCCTGTGCCCAGGCTCCTCAGGAGCCTTCAGTTGCACCTCAGTTCCAGGGCCTATGGTTGTCCAGGTCAAGGTGACAGAGATCCTGATAACTAAGAAAGGGCACTGGAGCCACTAAGGAGAAGGGAAAGGAAAGAATAAAGCTGGGAAGTTGAGGGGGCAGGAGTGGGAAGCTAGGGGTAGAGTATTGGGGGTAGAGTTTTTGTAGAAGCCAACAGAAGTTTCAAGAAGTTGCCTTGATGAGCTGGGAGGATGTGTAGAAAAAAGCTCTGCCATGTGTTATGAAATTCCTCCCTGGTCACCCCTTGAACATCATTCACTTAAGATACACAGGCTTTTGCAGGGCTTTTTGGAGCTGGATTTAAGTTTTTCTCGTGTTAAATGGGTCCTCAGGCCAGAAGACTGGGTTCATTTGGGTTCAGTGTCTAGGGCTCATTGGCCAAGGCCATGCCTGTGAGCCCCAGGAGCAGACAAAGGGTTCTGGAAGGAAGCTGAAGGGTGGGGTCTCACTTCCCGGTGCTCAGGGACACGCAGCCCACTCACCTTAACCGCTCCACCTCTGCGTCATCCACTAGGAAGTCCCTCTTCTGCACCAGTTTGTGGATCTTCTGAATCAACTCATCCTCTCTCTGCTTCTGTGGCTTGGTTTTTTCTTTTTCTGGGAAGAAAAAAACATCAACAAAGAAACAGCTGAGTGTAACTATGGAAAGCACTTGAGTCTGAGGAGCCAGGGCTGGAATCCTGGCTCTATCATTCCACTCTCTGGGTGAACTTGGAGAAGCACCTTGATCTCTTTGAGCCTCAGTTTCCTCTCTGTGAAATACACACAGTGAGGCTTAAAATGCAGCAATCCTAGCAAATGGTTTGACATAGAGCTTGGTCTTGGCCAAGAGCACCCAGTAAATGGTAATGATACTCAAGGGGGCTCTGCAGAAGTTTGAGGGTGAGGTGGCACTCAGGTGGGGGTGCCAGGAGGGAATTACTCTACGGTGAGGGTAAACCAGTTTGTCAGAAGGAAACCATCAATGCTGATGACATTATCCATGTCCCAAATACCGAGGGCTAGGATGCCAAAGAGAAAAGGAAAACAAAAGAGGGCCAAAGAGGAGGACTGAGAAAACTAGGAGGCAAAAGTTTAAGTCCACTTTGGGCTCCTCCTGCTCAGACCCCTTCAGAATAAAATGTAGGGAAGCCTGTCCCACTAAGTGTAACTTAGTGTTAACACTAAGAATTGTTAACAATTTCTTCTAGATCTGGAAGCAGAAGCAAAGGTGAGAAGAATACAAAACTTGATTGGAGAGAAAGCTGGCTTCTCCTATTAACAAGAAGGCCACTGCCTCAGCGAAGAAGGGTGTGGAATTGCTAGCAGCCCTCGATTCCCGGCCATTGCTATGTTGGGTGATGGTGGCATCACCCCTGCCATGGTGGGTCCTGTGGGTCTAATTCCCCAAACCACTCATCAGCACCACAGAGCCTCTCTTTGCCTTCTCTAAGCAAGTGCCAGTACCCACAGACTTGCCAGGGCACTCTGCTCACTCCAGCTCTCTTAGGGAGTCTGTAGTGTGAATTTCCAAGTAACCCTCAATAGCATTCGGATATTCCCAAGTGTCCTCCATCTCTCCCCAGATCTTGACAAGAGTCACTGACAACTTGCAGAGCCCCAGCTCCTGACAAACCTCTGTCTCCAAGTTATTTATCCACATTGTTTATTTCTCTCCAATACAAGCATCCCCCAGCCTCCCTCAGATCCTCAGCTGCGGTGCCTGCAGTGACTTGCAGAGAAGCCACCTACTACAGAAGGGGGCTGTGCCAGTTTACGCACCAGCTTCTGACCCAAGTCTCCAAGTCACTGGTCGGTGCTGCTCACCTGCTTTCCTACCAACATCTCCAACCTGGGCACTACCCACCTGCCTGCAGTTACCACCTCCCTGTCTGCAGCACCACACACCTGCCTGCAGGCACCATACACCTATCTCTAGGTATCAGCCACCTGCCTGAAGATACCACCCACCTACCTGTAGGTACTACCCACCCGTCTGCAGGCACCACCCGCCCACTTGATAATGTGACCCTTTCATTTTCCAACATCACCCACATACTTGCCAGGAGGAACTCCAGCTTGCTGACAGTACCCCCTGCTTGCTGGCACCACATGCCTGATTCCTAATGTCTCCATGTGCTCACCGTGTGACTCTCCAACTTGCTTCTTACCTCCTCCACTCATTTCCTTAGTCCAGGTCACCATCATCTCTCCCTGGACCATGCTGTGGCCTCCTAACTGGTCTCTCTGGCCCACAGCTCCTATGGCAACTGTGGGGCCTCACTATAAATCAGACGGTCCTGGCTAGAGGCCCCAGCCCCCTCCTCTTCCCAGCTGTGTGACTCTGGGCATGTTCCTCAACCTCTCTGAGCATCCAGTCTCATGACACAGATAATCATAAAGTTGTTGCAAGTTTTTAAGAGATATAAACCAAGTAAAATACGTAACTTACTGCCTGGTGCATAGTAAGGGCTCATGAAAAGCTAGCTGCTATTTGTATACACTATTACTTTATATGTCACTGTTGTTTTAATGATTAAATGCCCTCCAGATTAAATATTTATTGAACAAGGTATAAAAGAAAAAAATATTTATTTAATGAAAGAAAGACAAATAATAATGTAAATGTGCACATGCTAAGTGCTTAATAAACTGCAGCTACTATTATATTCGTATTGTCATGAGCTTCACATTTTCACTTAATCTAGGCTTCTCAAACTTGGCACTATTGACAATTGGGACCAGATAATTCTGTGTTGTGGGGACTGTCCTGTGCATTGTGAGATGTTTAGCAGCATCATTGGCCTCTACCCACTACGTGCCAGTAGCACTCCCCCCAAGTTATGACAACTGAAAATGTCTCCAGACATTGCCAAATGTCCCCCAGGAGGCAAAAATCACACCCATTTGAGAACCATTGATTTAATCCTTCCCAACAACTTTATAAGGGAGACACCATTTTTACATCCAAGAGAAAAGTGCCTGTGGTCTCCACAGCCAGGCCTAAGCATCCCCAGCTCTTGGGTGGCAGTGGTGACAGTGGAGGTGGAGTAAGACATTTTGCAGGTGTTCTCCAATCACCCCTTCCCATCTTCAAAGTGCTGGTGAATTATTTTCTGACCCTGGCTCAAGAAACATGATTCTTGGCCGTTCACTGTTCTCTTGACTTGATACTTTTATTGATGTGTTGCCAGGAACATTGGATTTTTTCCCCCTAAACTCAGCTAAATCCATCTGGACACTTGGCATTGGTCCAGGGAACACAGAGAAAGATTCAACAAGAAGGCAGACCACAAGGTGGGGCCTGGTGTCTAGGAAGGTGGGAGAAGAATATGTGAATTTCTGCACAAAAGTGATTGGGAAAAAGTGGCATCCAGGAGAATCAATGGGACTGGCAGTAAGGACCTGGGCTCTGTTGCTAACTAGCCCTGTGACCTTGTCCAAATCGTGTTTCTCAGTGGGGATGTCAATGGCAATTTGGTCAGGACACATTCTCATTTGGGACCGCCCTCCCCTGCAGATTGTAGCATTCTGACTTTGTGTATACAATGTCAGTACTGATCCTGTCTTTATTTGTATTTATGGTATTTTGTTCATCATGGATTTTTTTTGCATGAATTTTGATTTTTTAAACTTTGCATTAAAATATTATTTATCCCAATACCTGAGTTTTTTGTGTTTCTGCTGAGTGCCTTGTTCTCCTGACACCAGGCTGACCTTGGTCAGCTGTGTGCCCCAGTCATTGCATCAGCCAAAGACCACCCATTTCCACACATGCTTTGGAAGCTGCCACAGCCCTGGTGCAAATTCTCCAGCCTGCAGTTACCTTGGTGGATTCAGTGGCCACACACTCCTGCCTCCTTTGCCTTGGTTGACTCCCACATGTCCTGCCGAGCCCAAACTGGGCCCCTGGGAATCATCCCTCCCAGGAGGGAGATGGCGAGCCACGCTGGGCCCCTCAGAGTCTCCTGGGAAGTTGAAATCGGGACACAGAGGCCCTGAGAGTTGGGCTGTTGTGTGGGGACTTCATGGAAGGAAGAAGAAGTGGCCTTGCTTCATCCATGTGCTCGAGGGAGAAAATAGGAAGTGCACCCCAAATGGGGGGCGGGGCAAAGAACATTCCATTGGCTTTCCTGTTTCTGGTCCCAGGCCCTTGTGAGGCTGGGCTGAGCTTCATGCCAATGGTGTGTTGAATAGCATCTCCCCTTGCTATGGTCTGAATGTTTGCATCCACCCCAAAATTCAAATGTTGGAGTCAACTTCCATGACAATGGTGTTAAGAAGTGGGGTGTTTAGGAAGTGAATAGATCATGAGGGTGGAGCCCTAATGAATGGGATTAGTGCCTGATGGAGTTTGGATGTGTTGTCCCCACCAAAATTCATGTGGAAATCTGATCCCCAATGTGGCAGTGCTCAGAGCTGTTTGAGTCATGGGGGCGGATCCTTCATAAATGGGTTAATGCTCTCCCTGGGGGAGGAGGGCCTGAGTAAGATCTCACTCTATTAGTTCCCACGAGAGCTGGTTGTTTAAAAGACCCTGGCACCTCCTCTCTCTCTCTCTCTTGCTTCTTCTGGCTATGTGATCTGCTTGTACCCGCCGGCTGCCTGCCACTTTCCACCCTGAGTAGAAGGAGCCTGAGGCCCACACCAGATGCTGTCCCAGAATCATAAACCAAAGAAACCTCTGTTCTTTACTAATTACCCAGCCTCAGGTATTCTGTTATAGCAACACAAAATGGACTAATACAGTGCCCTTATCAAAGAGGTCCCAGGGAGCTTGTTGGCCTCTCACACCACGTGAGGACACAGGGAGAAGGCACTGTCTATGAGGAATGGATTCTCACCAGACACTGAATTTGCTGGTGCCTCGATCCTGGACTTTCCATACTCCAGAACTGTGAGAAATAAATGTTTGTTGTTTATAAGCCACCCAGTCTGTGGTCTTTTTGTTATCATAGCCCCAAAGTAACTAAGATATCCCCAAAATTCATGTTTACTCTATTTGGAAATAGTGTCTCCCCCCAAAATGTATCCTTCTCTATTTGGAAATACCCTGTTTCCCAAGTAATCTGTAAATTGCTTTGCAGATTAATTAGTTAAGCTAAGATGAGGTCATACTTATCAGGAAGGGCCCAAAATCCACTGACTGGTGTCCTTATGAGAAGAGAGGATACAGAGAGACACACAGGGAAGAAGGCCACGTGGAGACAGAGGCAGAGGTCACAGTGGTGCATCTACAAGCCCAGGAAGGCCAAGGGCTGTGGGAGCTACCAGAAGCTAGGAAGAGGTGAAAGAGATTCTTCTAGAGACTTTGGAGGGAGCATGTCCCTGCTGATACCTTGATTTTGGATTCTGGCCTCCAGAACTGTGAGAGAATAAACTCCTATTATTTTAAGCCACCAAGTTTGTGGTAATTTATTGCAGCAGCTCTAGGAAACAAATCCAATGCCTTAGGCCTCAAGGAGACTCCACTGTCTTTCCAGTAATTGCCTATATTGTGCTTTTATCAGCTTAGATGGGCTTCTGTGCCTTTCAACCAAGCTATTCCTCAGAGGGCTATAAAATGAGAGAGTCAAACAGGTCTGGTGCTCTTAACCCTGTCTGCTCATCACAATCATATGGGAAGTGATGGAGTTTGTATGTGTTGTCCCCTCCAAAACTCATGTGGAAATTTGGTCTCCAATGTGGCAGTGTTGGAAACTGATTGAGTCATGGGGGCGGATCCCTCATGAATGGATTAATGCTCTCCCTGGGGGAAGGGGAGTGATGAGTGAGTTCTTGCTCTATATGTTCCTGCGAGAGCTCGTTGCTTAAAAAGACCCTGGCACCTTCTCTCTCTCTCTTGTTTCCTCTCTCTTGCTTGCTCTCGCCATGTGATCTGCTTGTACTCACCAGCTGCCTGCCACTTTCTGCCATGAGTAGAAGCAGCCTGAGGCCCGCGCCAGATGCAACCATCCCAGAATCGTAAGCCAAATAAACCTCTTTCCTTTATAGATTACTCAGTCTCAGGTATTTCTGTTATAGCAACACAAAATGGACTAAAACAGAAAATTGGTACGGAGGAGTGGGGTGTTGCTAAACACATACCAGAAAATGTGGATGCAGCTTTGGAACTGGGTAATGGGCAAATGTTGGAGGAGTTTGGAGGACTTAGAAGAACAGAAAAAGACGAGGGAAAGTTTGGAACGCCTTAGAGACTTATGTGGTGGCGAGCAGGATGCTGATAGAAATGTGGACAGTAAAGGCCATGCGGATGATGAAGTCTCAGCAATGAGGAGCTTATTGGGAATTGGACAAAAGATAACCCTTACTACACCATAGCAAGGAACCTGGCTGCACTGTGTCCATGCCCTTGGACTTTGTGGAAGGTGGGACTTAAGAGTTGTGAACCAGAGTATCTGGCGGAAGAAATTTCCAAGCAGCAAAGCATTAAGGACGCTACATGGTTATTTCTAACAGCCTATGCTGAGTTATGGCAGAAAAGGCATGATGTAAAGCCAGAAATTTAAAACGGGAGCAGAGCATAAAGATTTGGAAAATTTGCAGCACGGCCATGTGGTAGAAAAGCAGAGAGCATGCAGTGGTGCAGCCCAGCGTCCATTAGCTAAGAAGATTAGTACAAAGGAAAGGGATTATCAAGAGAAGGAGAAAAAGGTCCGGAAGGCATTGCAGAAGCGTCTGGGGCCAACCCTACCATTTCAGGCCCAAAGGCCTAGGGAGACAGAATGGTCTTGGCAAACAGGCCCGAGGCACCCTCCATGGGCTCACTGCCCAGGGCCACCTGGAGAAGCTGCTTCCAGCACCAGCACCCCACCTGCTTTGGCTGCTCCAGCCGAGGCTAAATTGGCCCCAGGTGTGGCTGGACCCGCAGCTTTGGAAAATACAAGCCGGAAATCTTGGCGGTGTCAATGTGGTGTTAGGTCTGCAGGCTCACAGAATGCCAGAGCTGGGAAGGCTTGGGAACCTCCATCCAGATTTCAAAGTATGTATGGAAAAGTCTGGGGCCCAGGAAGAGATCTGTCACAGGGGTGGAGTCACCTCAGACAGTCGTGGCTAGAGCAGTGCAGAGCAGAAATGTGGGGTCAGAGTTGCAGCAGAGAAACCCCAACAGTGCCATGCCTAGTGGAGCCATGAGAGCGGGACTGCCATGGAGACCCCAGACCTGTGGAGCTACCAGAGTGGAACACCAGCCTGGGAGAGGTGAAGTATGGCCCGAGACCAGGAAAGCCATAGGAGTGGAGCTGCCCAAGGACTTGGGGACCCAACTCCCATACCAGTGTGCAGAGGCAGTCGAACATGGAATCAAGGTACCCGATTCTCCAGCCTTGAGATTTAATGCCTGCCCTGCTGGGTTTCGGACTTGTTTGGAACCTGTTTTTCCTTTCTTCTGGCCTATTCCTCCCTTTTGGAATGGGAATGTGTACCCAATGTCTGTTCCACCATTGTGTCTTGGCACTAGATAAATTTGCTTTTGTTTTTCAGGTTCACAGCTGGAAGGACTTTTGCTTTTGGTCTCAGAGGAGACTTTGGACTTTGGACTTTTAAGATAGTGCTGGAGCAAGCTAAGACTTTTGGGACTGTTGGGATGGAATGATTGCATTTTGTATGTGAGAGTGACATGAGTTTTGGGGGGCCAGGGGCGGAATGATGGAGTTTGGATGTGTTGTCCCCTCCAAAACTCATGCGGAAATTTGATCTCCAATGTGGCAGTGTTGGAAACTGATTGAGTCATGGGGGCGGATCCCTCATGAATGGATTAATGCTCTCCCTGGGGGAGGGGGGATTAATGAGTGAGTTCTCGCTCTGTTAGTTCCCGCGAGAGCTCATTGCTTAAAAAGACTCTGGCACCTTCTCTCTCTCTGTCTTGCTTCCTCTCACCATGTGATCTGCTTGTACCCGCCGGCTGCCTGCCGCTTCTCCGCCATGAGTAGAAGCAGCCTGAGGCCCGTGCCAGATGCAAACATCCCAGAATCATAAGCCAAATAAACCTCTTCTTTATAAATTACCCAGTCAGGTATTTCTGTTATAGCAACACAAAACGGACTAAAACAGGAAGTTTCAGAAACCAATGCCAGAGGCCCACACCAGATCCACTGAATTAGAATTTCTAGTGGGGCTGTCTGGACTTTGGAATTCTCCCCCTAGTTCTTTTATAGTTTTATGTTTGACATTTGACTTTTTTTGGTAACAGCTTTATGGAGATATAATTCACACATCATGCAACTCACCTGTTCTGAGTGTATTCAGAGTTGTGCAACCATCACCATCACCCATTTTAGAACATTTTAAACACCCCAAAAAGAAATCCCATACACACTAGCTGTCACCCCCTTTCAATTAGGACAGTCTATCCACTTTGTTGCTGCACAGTGCCTGGCACGTAGTAAGTGCTCATTAAAGTGATAGTACCCATTTCTACTATTGTTGCACACACCACCCTCATAGCAAGACTGTGCTGAGCTCTTCTCCACTTTGCATTTGTGTCTCCTGGGACAGTCACAACAGCCATGTGAGGCTGGTATTCTTGGCTCATTTTACAAACAAGAAATTTAAACCTCAGAGAATTTAGGTTGCTCAATGAAGTTCACCTAGCTGGTGAACCTGGATTCAAGCCCAGATCGCCGCACCCTAAAGTATTAGTTTTTAGATGGGGGCAATTTTGCCCCCCCCACACACACACTTTGGGGGACATTCGGCAACATCTGGAGACATTTTTGGTAGTCACAACTGTGGGGGGAGGGGAGAAGTGCTACTGGCATGTAGTGGGTAGAGATCAGGGGTGCTGCTCAACACCCTACAAGGTACAACACAGAGCCACCCCCCCCCCAAAATTAACCCCAGATGATGATATTAACCCCAAATTGCAATAGTGTCAAGGTTGAGAAACCCTGCTCTAAAGCACATCATGATGCACATCTGGCTCAATAATAGCTACCCCTTACGGGTACTCGTGTGCCAGACCCTATCTCCTCCCACTAACCTGTGAGCTCCTCAAGAGGAGAGAATCATTCTCTGTCCATCACTGTATGCCCAGAACCTAGTTCACTGCCTGCTGCAGAGCAGTCTCTTGGGACATACTTACTGAACTGATAGAATAGCAAAAACAAGGACAAGGTCAAGGACAACGGTGGTACTTATCTGGCCTATGTTGCTCCCTGCCAAGGCCAAGGTTATTCAGATAGAGCTGTGTTTATTCATTCAATAAACCTTCCCTTAGCATCTACCAGGCCCTCGTGTGCACCCTCAAGGAGGATGAAGTTGGGAGAGAGACTTGAATGATACAACAGGCAATTATCTGATGCATACTTTGATCGGGGTAAGCCCCACAGAGGGCACCCAACCCATCCTGGATGGGCAGGAAAGGCTTTTTGGAGGAGAAGGAGCCAAATAAGTAATATCATTAATAACTAGAAAGTCTAGGTTTGACTCCAAATTTATAGCTTGTAACCTCTATACTCTGCCTGTTTTCAAGCAGGATAATAGTAGTGATAATTGCTAATATTTATTGGACTCTTTGGGCCAAATATCAAGCTAAGCACTTGGATCACATTGTGTCATTTATCACAATATTTATACCCAATGAGTTAGGTACTATCATATTACTATTACTACCCCATTTTAGAGGAGGAGAAATTGAGCTTTAGAGAGTTAAAATGACATGCCCAAGGTCAAGAAGGTGTCTAGAATTAGGACTTCAACCAGGTCTACCTGACTTGAAGTTGTGTTGGAACCCTGTGGTCAGGGTCTACACTGCAAGAATGAGGCCAGGCTAGGAGTAGAGATGAACTCCATCTTCCAGACCCCAGGGGTAAAGATGGGGCAGTCTGGGGGCCCCAAGCAGCTTCTTAACACGAGAAGAAGTCACAAATGGTTACCTGGGATGGCGACCAAGTTCTGCAGTTCCTGCTTCAAGTCCATGATGTCCTTGCAGAGCTGGATATCGTCCATCCTGGGGAAACAGGATACCAGGCAACAGTAGGTTACACCAACAGAACACCACACCCTGAGCCTCAGCCCAGTTAAAACAAAGACAGTTGTGGGAGTGGGTTAATCTTTGTAAAGGCAATACATGCTCACTGTAGAAGTTTTCCCTCAAAGGGAGAAAGCCAAAAACTGCCCCATATCTCACTTTGAAAATAGTTAAATAAAGTGCTGTATATCAATATGATGGAATACTATGCAGCTGTCAAAAATGAGATTCAGGGCCAGCCCCGTGGCGCACTCGGGAGAGTGCGGCACTGGGAGCGCAGCGGCACTCCCGCCGCAGGTTCGGATCCTATATAGGGATGACCAGTGCGCTCACTGGCTGAGCACGGTGGGGGCGACACCAAGCCAAGGGTTGCGATCCCCTTACTGGTCACAAAAAAGGACAAAAAAAAAAAAAAATGAGATTCGCACGTACTGACCTGGAAAGATACCCAAGCTATATTATTAAGTTGAAAAAAGCACATTGCAAAATATTTTTGAATAATAACGATGTCATATGGTGGTATCAACATAAGCATTTTAAAAAATCCATGCTTTTCAGCTACTATAGGGTGAACATTGATTCATGTAAGGTTTTTTCTTCATGTTGGATTATTTGGGGAGAGGGGTTTAGATTCTCAGAAGTGGAGCCACTGGGTATGAAGGGCTTGATATGTCTATGACTGTTGAGACATATTCCAAATTGCTTTCCCACAGTGTGCACACGTGTGCGTTTATTCTGCACGTCTTATTGAACAGCCACCACGTCGGTCACTCTCCTCGGCTCTGGGTTAGGGATGCAGCTGCGAGCAAGACCAAATCCTCATGAAGGTGACATTCTGGCAGCAGAGACAGAAGGTAAACGCAAATATAAGACTTCAGGTGCTACCAGAGAGTGCAGCAGACAAGGGGATGGAGTGGGTCAGTTTGGACACAACTGTCCCAGGAAGAGACAGATGGAAGCATTGATATTCTCATTTTACCAATGTGGAAACAGATAAAGGGGTTCCACTCAGTCCACACAGCTAGCAGGGGCAGGACTAGAAATTGACTCTTGGGAATCTGAGTCCACCGATCTTTCTGCCTTGTCCTATAGCGATTTCATCAAGGGCTCCTCTTTCCAGCAATGCCACCTGCAGGCCAGCTCAGGGTCCCTGCCCTTTGCTATCCATTCCTATCCCACCATCCCAGGTTGCAGGACGAGAGGCAGGAACGCCTAGTTTTGGCATGCAGCTCCTGTTCCAGGGGCACACCAGGCATTTCGCAAGCCCTGCCCTGAAATCGTCCCAGCAGGTGACAGCTGCCTCGAATGAGCTCGGACTTGCCAGAAAGACACAGACTGTTCCCATGAGTTTCTACGATTGTGCAACTAGAGGGATTCCAGAATCACAATTGACACAGACATCAAGCTACATCAGTGGTTCTCAGTGAGGGTGATTTTTGTCCCCAGGGACGTTTGGCAATGTCTGGAGACATATATGGTTATTAGAACTGAGGGTGTATGGAGGTGGGGAAATTGCTACTAGCATCTACTGTATAGAGGCTTAACACCCTACAGTGCACAGGACGACCCTCACAACAGAGAAGTGTCCGGTCCAAAATATCAGTCAGCTGAAGTTGAGAAATCTTGGGTCATAACCACAGAATTGACAGACATATCTTACTGATCATTTTCGAGACATGCAAGAGGAGAAGGTGGAGAAAGGAAAAGAAAGAGGATGGATAGTGATTAGAAGCCAGTATTTTGGCACCAAACAGTTCTGGCTGAAAGGGGCCATGCTCCAGTGACTGAGCTTATCTAAGCCTCACTTTCTCATTTTTAAAATAGGAATGATGAGGGCTGGTTGGTTAGCTCTGTTGACTAGAGCGTGGTGCTGATAACACTAGGGTCCAGGGCTCCATCCCTGTACCGGCAGCTGCTGAAACAATAATGAAAGAACATAGGGATGATGATGATCGTACTGCACCCTCGGATTATTATGCATGTCCAGCCCTGAGCACAGTGCCTGGGACACATATAGTTAAATGTCTGATAAATGGTGTCTATCATTATTATTAGTATTAGCTGTAAGAAAGCAGAGAGAAGGGAAGGAGAGCATGATGCTGGACATGCACTGTATCTGGAAAACAGAGCTAACGTGGAAAGCTTTTAACAAATAACCTTTATTGATTGTATTCCACTCTGTAAAGTTTCAAAGTGACATTCTTAAATGATATCTGATTGTAGAATGGATCCCTAATCATTGTAGAAATTCTGGAAAATACAAATAACTACAAAGAAGGAGCCTAAAATTAAGCATAACCTTGACCCATGGGCACCAGAGACCACTTCTACTCTGTTTTGGTGTATTTCATGCCAGTCATTTTTTTCTACATGTAACCCAGGTGTGGTGGGCTTATCCTGCAGGCCTTGTCCTCGCCCTTTGTCTATCTTGAGACTGCACTCAGTATGTCATTGAGTCTCCCCAGACAGATCCAAATCCACAGGTAGAATTCTACTGAAGATCCCACGAGGAGTCACGGTGCAGAACTCCATCAAAATCCCTAGAAGATGGCACTGTTTCCCTCGAGTGTCCCATCTCTTCTCTCTACATCTTCCACACACCTCCCAGCCAAAGGAGGACCATCAGATCCCACACACTTCAGCTCTGCTCTTCAACTTAGAAGTCCCAGTTGGCAAACCCAAAGCCTGCTAGTTCTCTGAACATCTCCCCCCAAGAAAGAAGCTCATCAGAGTTAGGTGTCCATTCACATAACTAAAAATCAGGTATTTTTTTCTGGAAGATAGAGGGATGGGTTCTGCCATCAAGGAAAATAAGTTAACATTTATTGAGCATTTACTACATGCCAGGTGCTGTCCTTAGCATTTACTATGCATAAACTTCTCTAAATCCTCACAGCAGACCTGCGAAAGAGACATTGTGTTCATCTCCATTTTACAGATGAGGCAACGGAAGTTAAACAACATGCCCAAAGCTCCACACTGGTAAGTGACCGTGGAGATTCAGCCCAAAATCATGCTATTAACACTTCACCAGATTGTCTCCTCTCCACATGGCTACCTGAGTTGGGGCAGACATGGTTGATTGCCTAACTGACCTTCCCCCACCGCTTTCTCCTGGAGCCCTGATTCATTCAAGAGGCAACGTGCCCAGTCCCCGATGGAAGCCAGTTAGGGCAACCCCATTTGCCATTTCCAGATGTCCACTTTTCCAGGCTCCCTTGCAGCTAGAGGTAGCTGTGAGATCTACTTTGGACCAACAAAATGTAAGAGAAAGTCTGCTTGGGGGGCTCCTGGGAAAGATGATCAGAGCCCTGGGTGCTGCCCCCTCACTATTCTGAAACTGCTGCAGCCTATGGAGAGGATGGCAGAGGGAAAGTGAGGAAAGAATCAGACCCTTGATGACACCCTTGAGCCACCTGGCTGACCTTTGGACCACATGTATCTGGACTTCTTGTTTAGTAAGTATTAAATGTCCTTATGACTTAAGTAGAGTAACCAATTGTTGGTTTGCCCAAGGCAGTCCCAGTTTCAGCACTGTGAGTCCCATGTCCTGGGAAACCCCTCAAACCCAGGCAAAGCAGGAGAGCTGGTCACCCTAGATTTAAGATACTGTTAGTTGGATGCTCTGTTACTTGCAGCTGAAGACATTTTCATGGATACCTGCGCACAGATAGGTGCATTTTCAATAAAAGTAGGATCAAAACATACCTACACATACCTTGCCCATTCCAAGCATTACATCATGATGGTTTTTCCCATACCATTAAAAAATATTCAAAAAGCATTTAAATAGTTCATGCAAAGTGCTTTAGAAGCTTGGCTGGAACTTTGAATATGCCCCCATTAGTTTGGGTCTCTGCAGGGTTAGGGCCAAACCCTAGAAATCAAACCCCACTGCTGCTTGCTCATTCCAGAGACAGAGAAGTCATGTCAAAGAACCTGATTCGTGCAGGAAAGGAAAGAAAACAGCCTGTGTCATTCTGCATCTCAGGCTTTCACACTGGCATGATGGAGGAAAATTGGTCATTTTACCAGCTCTGGGTGGGGAGAGGTGCTCAGGCTCTGTCAGAACAATAATGCTACTGCTTTGCAAAATTTCTTTAAAAATGACATGGTCTGGAGGCATTGGCAGCTTGAGATGCAACCTAATGGTAAGCCAGCAGAGATCATGATGTGAAGGCAGAAGCAGATTGCAGAGGCAAGGGTTGACTTTTTTTTTTTTTTTTTTTTTTTTTCCTTTTTTG